GAATAATTGTTACCGAAACAAATCTTAATTTTCAAAATCATCACCAGTGGGATTTGAACCCTAGACCTGCCATTTGGGGGGTGACAACTTGCTAACTGCACTATGTCGCCACACCCCTCTATCTCATATCAATTAATTAGCCAGTTTTGAGATAATAAAAAATAGTTGGTAAAACAGCATAGGTGTTAAAATTTATTTGTTAATAAATTTTATCAATTCTTTATTTTTTTGTTAATATGAAGATATTGTGGTTTAGTATTAGAAATTAAATTGGAAGTAGGTTTACAAGTATAATATAATTCCCGATTTTCTTAACTAAGAATTTTGAAAATTGCAGATTTTCTGTCAGCACCTTTACCACCATCTTTCCTGGATTTTTTAAAGAACTTGAAAACCTGATCATGGTTTTTTTTTTCTACTGTCACACATGAAAATACAGTTAAACCAAAGCACCGATGATGTTCCATAAATTCAAGAATATGGTGAACCAAAATATGCATATATGGTGTAACTTCTTTTGGACGATATAGGCCTTTTTTAAAAGAAATTGTGTTTGGTGTTTCTTGATATGGTGTGAGAAATAAATTGAACCATTTTTTTGCTTGTGTTGCAAAATGATTAGGGTCTGTTGTTAGTTCTTTCATAAGTTTGTAAAGAGCATAAAAATCTCTTCACAAATGGTTAATTATTGTAGCTCTTTCTTTATCAAAAATTGTTTCAAAATTGAAATCACACAGTACCTTCTCCTTGTCACCCTATTAAAGATATATGTAACCAATTTTGTGTCTCACACTCTTGCCAAAAATGAAAGTTGACAAAGATTCTTCGCATTTCTATATTAATTAGTATTCTTAAATGATCATCAAATTTATTTTTCAATTTGATTTCTTGGAGTGCCAATCCCCAAAGTTGATCCCATATTCTTAGCATTATATATAGATCATCAGGTATATACTGATCCAAGGGTATCATCGGGAGAAGAGAAATTTTGTGGTGGCCTGGTGGTGGCGAACGTGACTTATTATTAAAAATATCTGATTTTAATAAATCTATACTTTTTTCAATTTTATATATATTGTTCTTATTTCTAATATCCTTTTTTGTACAAAGACACCAAGAACAAAAATAGGTCGAATTTGAAGCATTGAATCCTAGTATAATAGCCATGAACTTCCAATCACCGCTAAAATATGGTTTAATTTTCCATTTTATACCACTCAAATCTGTTAATCTGTATGTTGTTAAACCATTTAATTCATCTATAAAAGACTTCATTACTGTTTTTAGTACATCATAATTTTCTACTTCTGGATATAGAATAACTGTATGATGAAAATCTGCTTTGTAGATATTCAAAATATTATCTAACACTGTGCATGTTATCATCACATGTTTTATTGTTCTATCGACATTACATCCATCTCCTAATATACGGATATTAATAACCGGATTATCAATATTAATAATTTTTTGATTTACAAGGCCCAGGATAATGAATAACAAGATATTAGTAATGCACCTATATTCTGCTTTACCAATATATTTAAAAACCTCCATCTTAACTTCTTCATCATCAATGTTTATAAATAAATTTTCTATTATATAAAAAAAAGGAGTTTGCTATTTATCGCCACTAGTGATTATTACCAGAATTGCTATATCTCAAAAACAAGACTAAGAAACAGAGGTTAGGTAGGTTAAGTAAAAATGTTTAGAACACCCAAAAACCTCATGTAACCTAAAATTTAGGCTATGATATCTAACCCCTGTCTTGATCTCAAATTGTACCCTAACCCTAAATTTAATAAAAACTTATATATGGTGATGAACACCACTAGTGATAAGTAGTTATTTTGAAAAAAAAAGTAACTTGAATTAAAATTTGAAAATAAAATTTTGTACTGCACACCTATATTATCATTAGATGGTTCATTTGTTGTAAGAGACATATCAACATCATCAATATTTAAAGTAAAAATAGGTATTTTAATATTCATTTCTTTATTAATTCTTTTTTTGGTATTTAAAACATTGTATTCTCGTGGCAATTCAGATTGAATTGTAGCTAATTTACGGTAAGCATTTTGTGATATCAAACCTTGGTCAATAGCTTTTATAAATTGGTCAAGATTCTCATTCTCTTTTTTATTATGATAGCTGGCTATGTATTTTTGTCTTGAACACTAAACTTAACTTCTTGCAAAATAGGTCGGTCAAGTAAATTATAAAAATTGAAAACCTCATTATCAAAAGTTTTGCCAATTTGTAAAGAAAATGCACAAGATCACTTTGTTTTCATTGAATCACTTAAAGTATTAAATGATTTTAGAAAACATGGTTGTCTTTGTTTTCTTTCACGTTCTTGTTGTACATCCATAGCATTAAAGCCAAATACGTGAATTCCAGAAATTTTTGCACCTATATTAGAAGATTTTCTCTATATAATGATAAAACAAAAAAAAAAAATTTAAAAAATCTTACAAGAATTTTTTATAATACAATTTTATTGTATATTTTTTGGAAAATTCTATTTTTATCTGAATTAGAGTTACTCGATAAACTATAATGTTATTTACATAATATTTTAGGTGACTTTAACTTGGATGAAAATAGAATTTTTCTATTTTTTTAATTTATTATTTGCATTTCTAAGTAAAATTTTTTTAAAGTTTATACTAACTTGAATATAATCATTAAAAACTGCGGTAGAGATTTCTTGGATTTTATTATATATGGTTGTGAATTTTCTTCAAATTTAATCTTAAAAATTAGCCTATCTAACTCATATTCTATTTCACACTCCACTACATATTGTGATTTTCCCCTTCTCCAACTTGTTTGAACTATATAATTATCTGAAATTTTATATCATATTCCATTGCGAGAACACGCTGAAGTATAATATATCTTATCTGGTAGATAGAATCTTTCACTAATAATATGATATTTATAACAGGTGTTATTTTGTTTAAGAAAAAATAGATTATTTTCAGGATATTTGTTTTCAAGAGACATTGTTTTTTTTTGAAAAGGTACAAAGTCTAAAAACAACATGGCAGTTGATTACTTAAAGCAAACAGATTACACAGTTTTTAATATTAATTTATGTTGCGACATGCTTGTTACAAAAATTTCTCTCAAAAATTAAATCGTATTATAAAAACTCTTTAGCATTAAAATGCTAAAACCGATATAAAACTCATTTTTTATGCCAAAAAGGTTAATAGCATATAGTCTTCTAAAAAACTATTTGAAGAATATGTGTGCTGCTTGGAAAGAAACTTTTTGATTAACCAATCATAATTAATCAAATAGATAATCAATCAACTTGAATTTAATATATACTATATTTGGGTATAAAGAGCATATTTCCATAAATATACAAAAACTTGAAATTTTTACAGTTTTTTTGTAACGCTCACATACTCATGCATACTTGTTTATACAGATCGAAAATTTAAAAAACAAAAAGTAAGTTCAACTCTTATCATATAAGCAGATTTTCACCAATTGGGCTCTGAATAGAGCCACTAAATTCAGGTTCAACCCCTTATATAATTTCTTTGATTGGTCTAACGAATTATTAGGATGACTGTTGTTATTTTTCGAGGGTCCATTCTGCAAGAAGGATTTAATGAATATGTATAAAACCCATTAGATTATCTCAAAACCCATTAGATTATCGTCTAATTTATTAATCTGGGCCTACTGAGACATGCAGTTTGAAATTGTTATTGTTATAAGTAAATAATAAAAATAAACTTTTCGTCTCAATCTTTCAGACAATTATATTGTCAATAACCTGTTTCACTATAAAAATTTTTTAGGGTACTAGGTTCTCTCTTTTGCATATTGCCATAAATCCACCCATATGTTGAACTCAGAAAACAAATAGTTCAATTTATTTCTCACAAACCTATTAAGATGAATTGATTTTTTTTTAAAGGTTATATTATTCAAAAGAAGCTAACAATCTATTATAATAGAATTCTGATCTTATAAATATATAATAAGTATCCAAGTTAGAATTGCAGATTTATCTAATTATAATTTTTCAAACAAAAATCTTATGCCAGCACTATTGTTCGGCTATCATTTTAATTCCTATATTAAACTACAATAGGATTTTATCACTAGTACCCATCTAGCCTCGCTGTTTTGTTTAGTAATAAGTCATAATATTTGGCAATAGTATAGCTGAGTGACTATAGTACATTATAATGTATTTTTTTTGAAGTAGAAAGATTAAATTAATTTGTTACTGCGATATGCAGGAATGAAGTCTAGAGATGTTGTTAATAAGTAAATTTTTTATTCATGTAACAAAATCATGTTCACTGTCTAGCAAAGATCTCACA